GGTGGCAGGTGCGGGGAGAGGAAGGCCCCGTCGGGGTACCTGGAACAGGCTGTCCACCGTCCTCCCCTGAGCCCCGCGGTGCCGGCTGGTCCCCTCGCGGACGGCGGACTCCAGCTGCGTGAAGAAGTCCCAGGTGTGCTCGTCGTTGTAGACGATGAGGGGGTGCAGGGAGTACTTGCCGCCCGAGGGCAGGTACCGGCTGGCCAGCTCTGTGTTGCTGTACCCTGAGGGGACACGGGGTCTGGCTGCCTCTCCGGGTCTGGGAACGTCGGGCCCCCCCCCCCACTCTTCCTACTTCTCAGGCACCATCCAGAGCCCCTGCTCAGGGACCACGCTCGAGAGTTCAGAGAGTTCAGTTCAACCCAGCAAACACGTTTCATCCTCCCATCCTCCCCCACGCATCCCTCCCTCCATTTATTTATATCTCATCTGTCATCTACTGTCCGTCCGTCCGTCCGTCCGTCCATCCATCCATCTCATCTGTCATCTACTATCCATCCATCCATTCATCCATCCATCCATCCATCTCATCTGTCATCTACTGTCCGTCTGTCCATCCATCCATCCATCTCATCTGTCATCTACTGTCCGTCTGTCCATCCATCCATCCATCTCATCTGTCATCTACTGTCCGTCTGTCCATCCATCCATCCATCTCATCTGTCATCTACTGTCCGTCTGTCCATCCATCCATCCATCTCATCTGTCATCTACTGTCCGTCTGTCCATCCATCCATCCATCTCATCTGTCATCTACTGTCCGTCTGTCCATCCATCCATCCATCTCATCTGTCATCTACTGTCCGTCTGTCCATCCATCCATCCATCTCATCTGTCATCTACTGTCCGTCTGTCCATCCATCCATCCATCTCATCTGTCATCTACTGTCCGTCTGTCCATCCATCCATCCATCTCATCTGTCATCTACTGTCCGTCTGTCCATCCATCCATCCATCTCATCTGTCATCTACTGTCCGTCTGTCCATCCATCCATCCATCTCATCTGTCATCTACTATCCATCCATCCATTCATCCATCCATTCATCTTATCTGCCATCTACTATGTATCTATCCATCTACCCACTCACTATTTCTACTTACCTACCTATCCATCTCTCCATCCATTTATTCATCTCATCTGTCATCTACTATCCACCCATCCATCCACTTATCTCATCTGTTATCTACTATCCATCAATCCATCCATCCATCCATCCATCCATCTCATCTGTCACTACTATTTATCCATCTGTCCACCCACTATTTCTACCTACCTATCCATCCATCCATCAACCCATTTATCTACACTTTCAACTATCCATCCATCCTTTTATCTCATCCATCATCTACTATCTATCCATCCATCCATCCACCCATCCATCCATTTTTTTCATCTGTCATCTACCAACCATCCATCCATTCATCCATCCATTCATCTTATCTGCCATCTACTATGTATCTATCCATCTACCCACTATTTCTACTTACCTACCTAGCCATCTCTCCACCCATCCATCTACACCTTTAATTATCCATCCACCCATCCATCTATCCGTCTATCCATCCATCCACCTTCTATCCATCCATCCATCCATTTTTCTCATCTGTCATCTACCATCCACCCACCCATTCATCCACCCTTTTATCTCACCTGTCATCTACTATCTATCCATCCATCCATCCACCCATCTATCCATCCGCCTACACCTTCCACTATCCATCCATCCATCCATCCAGCCAGCCATCCATCCATCCATCTATCCAGCCAGGCACCCACCCACCCACCTATTTATTCATTTTCCATCCATTATCCATATCTTCTGTCATCTATGTATTATCTATCTGTTCTCTTTTATCATCTATGTATCATCTCTCTGTTATCAATATCTATCTCTCCTCTATATCTATCTACCTATCTATCTATCTATCTATCTATCAATCTATCATCTATCTGTCATCTATCCACCCCTCCATGTCATCTGTCTGTCTATCTAAATAAATAAGCATCCATGTTGGGCACACGCATATATCCTATTGGTTCTGCTTCTCTGATACAGCCCCTGTGAGACCAGAACCCATAAGAAGTCATTCTCCTAACACACGTGTGCTCGGACACGGACACACACACACACACACACACACACTGATACAGCCCCTGTGAGACCAGAACCCATAAGAAGTCATTCTCCTAACACACGTGTGCTCGGACACGGACACACACACACACACACACACACACTGATACAGCCCCTGTGAGACCAGAACCCATAAGAAGTCATTCTCCTAACACACGTGTGCTCGGACACGGACACACACACACACACACACACACACTGATACAGCCCCTGTGAGACCAGAACCCATAAGAAGTCATTCTCCTAACACACGTGTGCTCGGACACGGACACACACACACACACACACACACACTGATACAGCCCCTGTGAGACCAGAACCCATAAGAAGTCATTCTCCTAACACACGTGTGCTCGGACACGGACACACACACACACACACACACACACTGATACAGCCCCTGTGAGACCAGAACCCATAAGAAGTCATTCTCCTAACACACGTGTGCTCGGACACGGACACACACACACACACACACACACACTGATACAGCCCCTGTGAGACCAGAACCCATAAGAAGTCATTCTCCTAACACACGTGTGCTCGGACACGGACACACACACACACACACACACACACTGATACAGCCCCTGTGAGACCAGAACCCATAAGAAGTCATTCTCCTAACACACGTGTGCTCGGACACGGACACACACACACACACACACACACACTGATACAGCCCCTGTGAGACCAGAACCCATAAGAAGTCATTCTCCTAACACACGTGTGCTCGGACACGGACACACACACACACACACACACACACTGATACAGCCCCTGTGAGACCAGAACCCATAAGAAGTCATTCTCCTAACACACGTGTGCTCGGACACGGACACACACACACACACACACACACACTGATACAGCCCCTGTGAGACCAGAACCCATAAGAAGTCATTCTCCTAACACACGTGTGCTCGGACACGGACACACACACACACACACACACACACTGATACAGCCCCTGTGAGACCAGAACCCATAAGAAGTCATTCTCCTAACACACGTGTGCTCGGACACGGACACACACACACACACACACACACACTGATACAGCCCCTGTGAGACCAGAACCCATAAGAAGTCATTCTCCTAACACACGTGTGCTCGGACACGGACACACACACACACACACACACACACTGATACAGCCCCTGTGAGACCAGAACCCATAAGAAGTCATTCTCCTAACACACGTGTGCTCGGACACGGACACACACACACACACACACACACACTGATACAGCCCCTGTGAGACCAGAACCCATAAGAAGTCATTCTCCTAACACACGTGTGCTCGGACACGGACACACACACACACACACACACACACTGATACAGCCCCTGTGAGACCAGAACCCATAAGAAGTCATTCTCCTAACACACGTGTGCTCGGACACGGACACACACACACACACACACACACACTGATACAGCCCCTGTGAGACCAGAACCCATAAGAAGTCATTCTCCTAACACACGTGTGCTCGGACACGGACACACACACACACACACACACACACTGATACAGCCCCTGTGAGACCAGAACCCATAAGAAGTCATTCTCCTAACACACGTGTGCTCGGACACGGACACACACACACACACACACACACACTGATACAGCCCCTGTGAGACCAGAACCCATAAGAAGTCATTCTCCTAACACACGTGTGCTCGGACACGGACACACACACACACACACACACACACTGATACAGCCCCTGTGAGACCAGAACCCATAAGAAGTCATTCTCCTAACACACGTGTGCTCGGACACGGACACACACACACACACACACACACACTGATACAGCCCCTGTGAGACCAGAACCCATAAGAAGTCATTCTCCTAACACACGTGTGCTCGGACACGGACACACACACACACACACACACACACTGATACAGCCCCTGTGAGACCAGAACCCATAAGAAGTCATTCTCCTAACACACGTGTGCTCGGACACGGACACACACACACACACACACACACACTGATACAGCCCCTGTGAGACCAGAACCCATAAGAAGTCATTCTCCTAACACACGTGTGCTCGGACACGGACACACACACACACACACACACACACTGATACAGCCCCTGTGAGACCAGAACCCATAAGAAGTCATTCTCCTAACACACGTGTGCTCGGACACGGACACACACACACACACACACACACACTGATACAGCCCCTGTGAGACCAGAACCCATAAGAAGTCATTCTCCTAACACACGTGTGCTCGGACACGGACACACACACACACACACACACACACTGATACAGCCCCTGTGAGACCAGAACCCATAAGAAGTCATTCTCCTAACACACGTGTGCTCGGACACGGACACACACACACACACACACACACACTGATACAGCCCCTGTGAGACCAGAACCCATAAGAAGTCATTCTCCTAACACACGTGTGCTCGGACACGGACACACACACACACACACACACACACTGATACAGCCCCTGTGAGACCAGAACCCATAAGAAGTCATTCTCCTAACACACGTGTGCTCGGACACGGACACACACACACACACACACACACACTGATACAGCCCCTGTGAGACCAGAACCCATAAGAAGTCATTCTCCTAACACACGTGTGCTCGGACACGGACACACACACACACACACACACACACTGATACAGCCCCTGTGAGACCAGAACCCATAAGAAGTCATTCTCCTAACACACGTGTGCTCGGACACGGACACACACACACACACACACACACACTGATACAGCCCCTGTGAGACCAGAACCCATAAGAAGTCATTCTCCTAACACACGTGTGCTCGGACACGGACACACACACACACACACACACACACTGATACAGCCCCTGTGAGACCAGAACCCATAAGAAGTCATTCTCCTAACACACGTGTGCTCGGACACGGACACACACACACACACACACACACACTGATACAGCCCCTGTGAGACCAGAACCCATAAGAAGTCATTCTCCTAACACACGTGTGCTCGGACACGGACACACACACACACACACACACACACTGATACAGCCCCTGTGAGACCAGAACCCATAAGAAGTCA